AGGACACACAATTGGAATTTGACACTCTCCCCTTTCTGCAGGCAATCCCCTTTGTTGGCCATTCCAACTATCCCCAATGGATAGATCTCGCCTTTCATATCCCCTTCGTCCACAATCTCAATCATTCCTTGGTACTCAGTCTGTGTTGGATCGACACTCCTCAAGGGGTGAATAACTTTACCCAAGTAGATGGTAGGATCAGCTTCTTCAGTAATGCCATTCACTGAGTGTGTTTTGTTGACTTTTTCTGCACTGACCTTGTTGCCTTTGCCTTTGGACAAACTGTACTCCACTATGTCCCCCAGTACCAGGCTATCAATATCACCAGAGAATTCACTGTAAGGGAAAAAGATTTCCTTATCATGATTGACTGTTTCAATAAATCCAAAATTATCCTTCAGAGTTGCCACATAACCCAAGAACCTCTCGGAGTTAGAATTACAACCTAAAAGTCGCGCACAGGTTGCAATCTGCTGTCTAGGCCTCTGTTTGTCACTAATACTGAACTCAACCTTATCCCCTATTTGAGGAGAAGTAGATCCATCCACATCCTTAGCTTGAAAAGAAATAGTCAATTTTACCCTACAATCATCATAAGCAATAATACCATCCTCAACCTCCTTTTCTTTGCCTGTATTTGGGCTAGTGGTTTTGGAATTGGGAAAAGTGGCTTCTCTTTTTTTTAATTCTTATTTTATTGATTATGCCATTACAGTTGTTCTATTCCCCCTTTCATTCCCCTCCACCCTGCACCCCCACCCCTACGATCCCCCTTTTAGTTTATGACCATGTGTCTCAAGTTCTTTGGATTCCATATTTCCCATACTATTCTTGCCCTCCCCCTATCTATTTTCTACCTACCATCTAGGCTACTTATTTTCTGTATCTTCTCTACAATGCCCAGAAAACCATGATCTCAGTGGGGATGGAATGAAACTGTGCCCTTGGGAAGTTTTTTTAATCCTAGTAGCATGATTTCTTTGGGCAGAGAGCATATCAGGAACCACAGTAAACTCCACTTCATCTGCAATATGGAGCTGGTTCCCAACCAGAATTTCACTATAGTGGAAGAACATTCGAGCATCACGATCCACGCACTTGATGAAACTAAAACCATCTCTCATGACAGCAATTACACCCATTTCTCTAGCCTCATTAGTGAACTGAAATGTACTTAGTAGAACTTCTATGTTGGTTGCTCATTCTAATTTGTCACGTCAGTCTGTTGAAATATTAAACCTAACACGATCGCCTTCCAACAGGGTCACCTTGGATTTTGTATCTTTGTCTCCAGAGGGAAGTTCTTTAGGAATCATAAAGTCAACTTTAATGCGTCCTGGCAATGGATCATTCTGGTTTTTACTGGGTACTTTGGGGATAACTTTGGTTACAGTGCCTTCTAAATGTTCAATGCTGATATCTTCAAAAATGACTGTTCCTTGAGGCAATAGTCTGACATCTGTTGCAACCTCTTTACCATTTCTGTTCTTGATTGTGAATTCCATGTCATCTCCAGGCAGTGAGGTGTCTAAGTCACCTTTAATCTACTATCATGAAAGATGATCTCTTTTACAACATCACCTCTTTTAATAAAGCTGAAGGCCTCCTTCATGGCACAAACAACACCCTGAAAGCGGGCTTGTTTCTTTTTCACCAGCATAATGTTTTGAGCATTTACAGCACCAGTATGTTTATTGTTATCAATTACAAAGTTTATTTTATCTCCAGTTTCCAGCTGAATGTTCCCTTCCACATCTTCAGGGTGTAGGTCAAATAAAACACTTCTTGTCCATTCATTCATTCTTCAGGGACAATTTCTTGTTTTATCTTGACCAATTTAATAGCAATGGGCTTCCTGGTCCTCCGGTCAGATGATACTTCGAATTCAACATCATCTTCTACTTTTAAGTCCTGCAGGTTGCCATTATACTGTGAACAGTGGAAGAAAAGTCTAGCTTCACGTTCTGAATAAATCCGTAAGAGTTTAGCACTTTTTTGATAACCCCAGTTTCACGCAGTGCTGCTGAAGTACCATTGGGGTACCCATTGTGTCCATTGTTGTGGAGAAGGTTTGGATCAAAGCTCATCTCACAGTGATAATCAAATATTGCACTTTTGGTAGTATTTGCTGAGTATTCTTTTTCAGCACACATTTCAAAGGATAAAAGTTGCTAGTATTAAGAAAAAGAGTGAGAGAAAATGATCTATCAAGCTACTGAAGAATATGACTGCTGTTGCACCGGATAATCTCATAGCACAGCACTGAAGAAAGCAAAGACTACTAGCAGCGTTGGGAAGTGCTCTTGCAAAGTTGTTGAGTAGGCACAAACTCCTCGTTTCAGATCAAGTGTTGTGTCTTCAAATTGAGTGTAGTGGTCTTTGGTCTTGTTGGTTGTTTCAAGGCTTGTTCTTTGCCTGATCTGAACTTGAAGCAGCTGTTTCACGTGGTAAAGTCCATTCTGTTACACTTCATACCCAACGGCTCAGCACCCCCTCTCCAGCACCATCATAAGCAGCACAGCCCGGTACGTAGGTATATCATTCCTTTTTTAATGCCATTTACACTTTACTACACTCACTGATTCCAGATGCTCTGCACATTTAAAAACATCAGTGAGTCTGTGGAGCTTTACAAACTTCCTTTACCATTTTCCCATAAGATATGCACCTTGATTACTATGAACAGAAAATGATAGCCCAAACCTAGGATGATGGTCTTCTTAGAAGTCCTCCTGCTGCCTGTGATGCTGTTCCATCTCGCACATGGGTATGTTTCCACTCATCCTGAACAGATAAGTTGCAGAATGACATCCCAAAAGTCAGGTTTGTATACCTGATGTGCTAGTAAGAAAAAGTACTGAAACATTGGTGCTTGGAGATAGAAAAAGCTTTATTCAGTTTGGTTAAGATGAAACAACAAGAGAGGAAAGTGTCTCAAATCCATCTCTCTCAAAAAACAAATGTAGGCTGCATTCCCACCAACAGTGCGCTATTCACAGTAGCCAAGTGCTGGAAGCAACCTAAGTGCCCATGTGTAAATGAATGGATTCAAAAAGTACGGTAAATTTACACAATGAAATACTACACAGCAGAAAGAAAGAAAGAGCTCCTACTCTTCATGACAGCATGGATGGACCTGGAGAGAATTATACTAAGTGAAATAAGACAGGTGGTGAAAGACAAATACCATATGATCTTACCTAAATGCAGAACCTAATCAACAAAACAAACAAGCAGGCAAAATATAACCAGAGACATTAAAGTAAAGAACAAACTCACAGTAACCAGAGGGGAGGGGAGAGATGGATAATGGAGGAAAATAGGGGAAGGATTGTCAAGGAACATATATAAAGGACACAAGGACAGAGAGGAAGTGATAAAATTGAGGACAGGAGGTGAGGATGGGTGGGGTTGAGGGAATGGTGGGGAAATATGGAGACAATTGTACTTGAACAACAATTTTAAAAAGGAAGAAAACATCATATTAATATAATTGCCTTGAGATTTCTATAAGCCAGGCCTTCTCCAGGGAAGGACAAGTTTTCATGTATTTATTGGGAACCCTATGATAATTTGCATGAAGCTTTTAAGTTTTTCCTTTAAATTAAAAATAGTTACAGATGTCCTCTTTATCTCCATGTGGGGCAATGGGAGGGGACCAAAGACAGAAACAATTGCCCATCCATTCATTTTCGGCCATTAGAAGACTCAGATAACTGGGAAAGCTGAGATGAAGCATTCAAATGGGATAATTTCAGGAACATTGAATACAGGGCCTTCTTCCAAAATGTGGGTGGTATATAGAGAAATTCCAGGTGATAGAATAATGTCTTGAAGTTCTTAAGAGCAGAAGCAAACCTGACTCTGTAGCCTATGTGGATGGCATCACCCACACACCTGTGTGCTAATCCTGCTGGTGGTTTAGCCAGTGAAAGGGGAAGTCAGGAGGAGAGAGAAGTGAGAGTTCTTGCTTCCTTTGCTGGTCACAGTTTGGGCAGCAGCTGAGGTCTGCTATCTGAGACCACAGTTCCAATCAGGCAGCTCACATTCTTGGCTGCAGCTCATGCTGCTGCTATAGCAACATGGTTCATGCCTCCTGTCCCTTACATCTAAGAGGAAAAGCTTCTCTGTATTATTGGTTCCCAGTTGTGTCAACAGTGCTTTTGGTCTCCATGATCTTCCCACATTTTTCTAAATTGGTCCTTCACTAATCTTTCTTCAATGAAAGACATTAAGATTGCCCTCTGTTTTCCTCCAAGATTTCAGAAGAGACTGAATGCACACGAGTATGCATAAGTCATCTGCATGCCCAGAGCAGTGGGATCTGTGTAATGGGCCTGAATCTTAAGGAAATACTCAGTCCTCTCTTGGTGAGTAGGAGATAACACTCCACATGCTACCTTTCTCTAACAAGAGAACCCAGAGTTGCAACAGTTCCCCATCCTGGAAGTGCTCAGAACTGGCTGGGATGTCATACAAGACCCATGAGCATGATTTCGTGAATAAGGAGGTTAAATTAGATATATGGCCTCCATATCTACTTCAGTCTTTAGTCTCATATTCTCATGTTGCCAGATTTTTCTAAAACCAAAGAAATGGGTGTCTTTTTGTTTCTTGTCCCAAATAGACACTGTCCTCTGGATTTGGATACTGTGAGAGAATAGAAAAGTGATGCATGGAGAGAGGAAAGCCAATAAAGTGTGTGTTCATGAATGGGCTCCTATTCTCTGCTGAGGCTTTTGTTAGACCCTCTTACACACAGCTATACACATCACCCCTGAGTGCCCAGGTCATTACTGTGAAATCCCACCAAATACAACTCATTCTTCTCCACACAGATACCAGTAAACACTTGCCCAATTGAACTGCATTTATTTGGTTTCTTGCCCATTACAAAAGGAAATGTATGTCAGAAACCTCAGATTTACGCAGCTGGTTAGCTCCACTGTCATTGGAAGCAGTTTTTTTTTTTCAGATCTTCCTAACATATCCCCCATGAGTACACAGTAGAGTAAGCCCAGTGTTCTTATTCTCCAGAAAAAAACAACAAAGCACTGGGGAAGACAAGACAGAGAGTCTGAGCTGTAGGCTGAACAACGTGAGTAAACTTGATCTAATGATTGCTTTGGGTAACTCTGGAATGCTGGTATAATTTTTCTGACAAATGAGACTTAGAACAATGTCACAGGATGAGGACTGGACCCAGATTGGGTGTGCCTCAGGCCAGCCATAGTGTGTGTTTTCTTGACCCTGTATAGGAAACATTTCATATCACACAGGTCAAGTAGATTTTGAGAGTATATTTATTAACCCAGAGGACAGTGAAACAAATGAAGGATTTAGGGTGGGAGAAGCAGCAAGAGAGAACCTAGATGAGGCTCTGCTTTGACTCGCTAGAAATGTTTCAGAAAACAGGTGAGCCACACTGGGCTGTGTGAACTCACTGAGAGGTAAAAGTCACAGTGACAGAAGTTAACCAAGGTGGGGCTGCTGTTAGCTCATTGGAAAGTCAGACAAAAAGGGGGCCTTGAAGACAAGTTCATGAGGTAAGCCCAGAACAAGCTGCTGCTGCCTGCTGCTGTCCTGGTTGCAAGTCTGGTGGATCCTTAGAGTTTAAGAGGAAGGAAGTAGAAAGGTCATGGGCATGCTCTAGAGTGAGCTTGCAATGGTATTTTTTGTCTTCAGGAATTTTACCTCTCTTCTGCAGATGACAGTCTTAGGGAAGGTTTTCAACAGAATATTCATCAGCCTCCTAGGTGTAATTTTAACATGATAATGTATCAAAATGAGCATATGGGAGAGTTTGGAATTATTCTTTGGTCTGCTTTAGTGGTTACTTATCTTGAGTCTCTCTGGCTCTAATCAGGTGTTTGTTACTTATTCATCCATCTCAGGGTTTGGCTGGCACAGATGCCATTACTAGGGTCCCTGTTTTCTATCTCTCACCAGGTTAATTTAAGCTATTTACTTGTGAGTCAGGGAGGAGAGGTATACACCATTTGTTCTCCTATGATCTTGGTTAAAGATGAGGTTTTGTGAGTCACTAGCTGGTTGTACTTTGGTCAAGTAGTTTGGCCTTGTTTAATGATCTCATCTCAGTTTTCCCATCCACACCATTAGAAATTTCTCTAACTTCTAACAATTCTGCCTTGTTTCTTCCTCAGACTCTTCCATTTCTGAAGTCTTTTAGGGGTGATGAGGGAGAAGGACATGTCTTCAGTAACAGCTTCCTGCTGACAAGGGCTGTTGTCCCTGCCTATGTCGGATGAAGATGCCTCTCCCTGCCTGCTCTAAGGGAGACGAGGGAATGGGATCTGAGGCCAGAACAGAGAGGCCATTGGCTGATTCTTCTAAAGTAGAGATATGCAGGAATCCTCACAGAGTCATTGCCTTCACATGGAAGTGAGGTATTTTAGAGGTAACAATTTTGACAAGAAAGTTAAAAAGGCATGGCCCAAAGTTGAGGAGGAGATCCATGCATAGGGAATCAAGGATGGGTAAAAACTAGGTAATAGTCTCCCAGATGAAGCTGGCAGAAGGATTCCACTTTCCAAAGTTATCAGTCCATGTGGCTTGGTCATAGATTTTTAAATATAGTTTCTTCCACTTGACATGAAGAGTTAATGCAGCAGGTTTTGTTTATGACTGCACACCCCCCTCCTCTGCTACTAAGTAATCAAGAGTTAATCTGTTACCTGGTACAGCATTAGCAAAAGAATCTAGAGACTGTTGTTGATTTTGGAGGGCATGGCTAGTACTATTTTTAGGCTATGTATGCTATCTGTTAAATTAATTAAGGTGGCATCTGACAAGCAAACTCTCCCCATGGAATATAATGCTGATGGCTGCCCTTATGCCAGTTACAATAGTTTTATTCTTTTTATCCTTCTTGTCAAATTGTTACCTCTAAAATACCTCACTTCCATGTGAAGGCAATGACTCTGTGGGGATTCCTGCATATCCCTAATTTACCACGATCAGCCAATGGCCTCTCTGTTCTGGCCTCAGATCCCATTCCCTTGTATCCCTTACAGCAGGCAGGGAGAGGCATCTCCACCCTACATAGGCAGGGACAACAGCCCTTGTCAGCAGAAAGCCTTTACTGAAGACATGCCCTTCTCCCTGTGGCTTTCATTCTTTGAGAGTGAGCAGTATTATGAACAATGACAGAAATTGCTCGTGGCTAAGAAAACCTGAGGTGCACTGGCCATGAAATTATTTGTTAACACATGGATAGGCCACAGCAGGTAATGGTTAGTGGAAGTTGGTAAAAGGTCAGCCATCATATGATAGGGTATTTTGGAGGTGTCCACAAAAAAAGAGGTATCCAGGGGGGCGCAAGCTCAACCCACATATGTTGTTGAAAATCAGGCCTGTAAGGTCCAACTCCAAAAGCTGTTTTCTATGCAGCCATGGAATGGGTTCCTCCTTTCAGGGGGCAGTCCCTTGTTCCCATGGGCTTTCTGTGCTCTGAGGACTTGGTAAATGAGTTTCCACTTAATATTAGTTTTTCTTCACCAATAATTGCAGGTGTTCTGGAAATCATTTTGAGAATTAGTTTTCCAGACATCTAATTGTACACTAGTGTATCAGATTGAAGGCACAGAAAATATTGTCAAAAAAGTCTTTGGATATATCAAAGTTAGGACAGAATGATCTAGTTCAAGTTTAGTGACACATTCGTTAGATGTACCACAATGCCAGCAGGGTTCTGTAAAGGTTTTGCGTAGGAACCTTAATATTGACCACTTTTATTCTGACTAATGACCAGAGTGAAGCTGGTGCAAGGAAAACCATTGGGAACTGGAGGGAGGTTTACTAAAAAAGAACTGGCTTTTTCAAAATTTTTCAAGAGACCCTAAAAACATACTTAGTATGTGAAGATTTTAGGTTGATCCTGATGTATGAGTGCTCTTTGGATTGGTTGTTAATGGCAGAGCCAGCGATTGAGAAGTTGATCTTCAACAGCAACAATATTGGAAGAGCTTGCCAGGATATTACTCTCCCACTCTCCTCATAAGGTCTTTACTATAGTAGAGATATGAAAATAGTAAGGATAAACATTTTGTTTAAAATTTAAATAATTTGAGTAGAGTCTACAGAAATATTTTTTCCTGGAGGAAGAGGCTTGGTGTACTAACAGACTAGTAGAAAGAGTATTAAAAATATGAGAAAAAATTACATTAAAGCCTGGCCATTATGTTATTTATCTGTAAAGGGCTCTTCTTTCTTGAACAGGAATTTGAGGTCCTTGATGGGGTTCACAAGAGTAGGAGTAGGTTTATTATTCCTGTAGAGACTCACAAGAAATAGGTTTACTTCGAGATAAATGAACCAAACTGATTATTTCTATAAGCTTTACTGAAGTCAGAGTGCTTAGTAGGACTTGATGTGGGTCCTCCTATGTAGCCTGTAGTTGGGACTCAGGACCATTGTCCCTCCAGGTTTTTCAATAGACCATGTCCCCTACTTTAACCCGTTTGTGTCAAGAGTCTTTACCAAGAGCAGGCGGAATTTTGTTTCCATACTATTGTAGTGTCTTTTGTACCTGTCCTGCATTAATGATGTAAGATGACAACTGGATAATTTCTTCATGTAGTAGCAGGTCCTTTAGCTTTTTCTTGTCTGGGAAGCTCTTTATTTCTCCTTCAATTTTAAATGATAGCCTTGCTGGCAGAGTAGCCTTGGCTGTAGGACCATATTTTAAACACCCAAAATGTTTGATGCCACTCTCTTCTGGCCTGAAATGTTTCTATTGAGAAATTAGATGACAGTCTTATGAGAGTTCCCAGGTAGGTAACTAACTGCTTTTCTCTTTGGACCTTTAAGATTCTCTCCTTGTCTTTAAGCTTTGCCATTTTAATTATGACATGTCTTGGTGTGGGCCACTTTGGGTCTATCTTGTTTGGGACCCTCTGCACTTTCTGAACTTGTGTGTAGCTTTCCAGCACTAGGAAGTTTTCAGTCATTATTTCTTCAAATAAGTTCTCAGTCACTTGCTCCCTCTCTTCTCCTTTTGGTATTTCCAGGATGCAAGTAGTGTCGCGCTTCATGTTGTCCCAACAATTTCTTAAACTCTGCTCCTCTTTTAAAATGTTTCTTTTTCTTGACTCTTCTGCTTGAGTATATTTTTCTACCTTGTCTTCCAAATAACTGATTCAAATCTCTGCTTCATCTACCCAACTGTTCATTCCTTCAGGTGTATTATCTATTTCAGATAGTGCATTCTTCATTTTTGACTGTTCATTTTTTTTAAGTTTCTAAGTCTTTTTTTCATACTGTTTAGGGTTCTTATAATCATTACTTCTAAACTCTCTCTCTCTGATTAATTACTTGCCTCCAATCATCTAGTTCTTCTTCTGGATAATTCTCTTTTACTTTCTCTGGTTTGGGGCTTGTTTCTTTGTCTCCCATTTTGGCTGCCTCCTTGTGTTTGTTTCTATGCACTAGGTAAATCTGCAAAGACTGGTGCAAACCTATGTAAGACACTGTGACTGGCCCTGGGCAACCTGTTTGGAATCATCAATGATCCACACCTTGTGACTACTTCTGCTCAGCCTTGGTGTGTGCAGAAAAAAACAACTGTGCACCTAGGCTGGTTTCCTCCAGGTCCGGGCCTGAGGGAGTACCAGTATATGCTTAAGTATCAGAGCTCCCAAGTACTGCCTTCACCTACAGCCTTTCAGTTAGGCTTAATAGTCTCCATCTCTACTCCTCAACAGCCCTACTTGAGTTCCACAGGTTGGAACAAGAGGGATTCCTGAGGGTGGGGCTACTGCTTCCCCCCAGGCTGATGCCACATGGAGGGGAGTGCTGCCAGGGAAAGACAGCTTCTACAGTATGGGAAAATGACTCAGCACAAGGACCCTGATGGCTGACCCTTCAATTCTCTCCCCAGAGCTACCAATCCCAGACTTTGTTCACCTGGCTCTAGGCTGCTCTGCCCTCCCTCTGCCATACTCAGGATGACAAGGCTGCAAAGAAAATGTTGTGCTTTGTCCCTTTAAGAGCTTCACTGAATGTCTGCCATCTCTCCCAGCAAGACAGAAACCCAGCTTCTTTTCAAAGCTGGATGTTACTTGGGTTCCACTCCCAGTTCTCATTCTCTGGGCTTGGGAGTCCATCTTGGGGTTTTACCCTGCACTTCTCAGGGGGGTCCCCCCTCCCACATTGCAGCTGAAATATTACTATGGAACATCAGTTCTGTCTGTGGAAACCCTTCAAGTCTTCTAGCACCTTCATACTTCCTACCAGTCTTATTGTGGTGGAGTGGTTTCCTCCATAAGTGCTTGGTTATACACCTTCTCTCCAGCTAGTGTTAAGTTGGTTATTCAAGATGATTTCTCCTATAATTTAGTTGTAATTTCCACCTTGGTCCTGGGAAGAAGGTAGTGCTGCCTTCATCTACTCAGCTGCTAGCATGGATCTCTACCTAATAGCTCTAAAACAAAATGAATAAACTCATAATGGGTGGCAATACTCAACTGAGTTAATGAAGACAAAGTTCTTTTTGAATGTAAACATCATGGCACATGTGAAGGATGGTTCAATTGCATTTATTTTTTAGCAGCATGAATTCAATGACTTCAGCAGGACCCATGGCCAATACTGTGTTTATGGCAGCACCCCACAATGCACATTCTGCAATCCCGGGAAGCACGACTCAGGTGACCCTGTATCCACACAACCAGCCCCAAGTCAACCTAAGTCCTGGGAACCAACCTGCCTTGCAGACACCTGAGAGTGCACCACCAGCCCAGAGAATCTTCAAAGAGGGCAAAACCTTAGGGGTAAGTGAGAAGTCACACCACAGGCTGGGGACCACATTGCTGGAGTCAGGGGAGAGAGAACGGTTGGAAATACACAAACGGAAAATCCAGCAAGTGGAGCTGGAGCTGACCCAGCCTTGCCAAACTCAGGTGTATTAGGAAGCTCAGCAGTGGAGCATCACCAGGGCCTCAGTGTGATGCCTCATGTTTTCTAAGTTAGGCATTAGGAAAGAGAAAGAAAAGCAACAAAGAAGCAGGAAATTAAAAGGTTTTACCTGTTGCTCTGAATCCATATTGATCATGTGGCCTCTAGAAGAAAGGGGGTAGAGCAAACCACAAGGGGGAGACTAAAGCCCATGTGCTCGAATGGAATCATTGCCTAATGGCAACAATATAAGAGCTCCTTTTGAGTCTTCTCCTAGAAGGCTGTTCTAAAAGAGGAGGAGCCCGTTTCACTATTTACTTAAATAATGATGTGCATGGTTTCTGATCCAGCCTTCCCTGTTTCAGTGTCTAGCTTCACCCTAATATACTGCTCTTGGAAATGTCAATCAATACAACCCTTGCAGAGGGCCATCTATACCTGCCAAATTTTAAAATACCCAATAATTTTATTTCTGAGACTTTTTCCTATAGATATGCCTGTGAACATAAGAAATATGGTATGCATGAGGTTAGTTATTGCAGACATAGTTCTTGATAGGAAAAAAATGGAAACAACCTAAATATCTTTCACTATAATACTGGTTAAATCAATGTATTGTACATCAAAAAATTCAAATGTTTTAGAGATATTAAAAAAAGCTCCTTGCATAAAAATATGGACACATACCCAAGCTATATTATTAATGAGAATAAATTAGAGGCAAATATTGCATATAATTTACCATAATTTGTGCAAATTTGTGGAAATAATATATTTGCCTTCACCACCATTTTAATAGTATATAAACATATACATATATGTGTATATATGTATATACATGTGTGTATATACATAAACATGTATGTGTGTGAATGTATGTATGTGTGTATATATACCATTTCAGCAGGACTATATAATACTTTTCTACAGATGCCAGAACAAAGCACTACAAATGGGATAGCTTAGAAAACAGAAGCTTACTGTCCACAGTCTGGGGTACAGAAGCTTGTAATCACGTTCTCCATGGGGCCGTGATCCCCCTGCAGGCTTGAGGGGAAGACCTGCTCTGGCCAGTCTCAATGATTCCAGTGTTCTTGGCCTAAGGCAGCATAACTCCCACCTTGGCATTCTCCTGTGTGCTTGTGTGTCTCTTCACATGGCATTCCTTTAAAAGGGTAGCAGTCCTAGAGGATCAGGAGCAACCCTGTTCCAGCACACCTCATATTACCTAATTATATCTGAAGCAATGCTATGTCTAAGTGAGGTCTCATTCTGAGGCACTGGAGACTAGAACTTCACAATATTAATTTGATCAGGGAAAGGCGGGCAAAATTCCAACAACACAATGTTCCAGATACTGTTTTGCAATATTCAAAACAATATCCCAAAGAAATGGGATGAGCAGAGACACTTATCTACAAAGGTGTTCATCACAGTGCTGTGTATAGTATGAAAATATAGAAACAATCTGTCCTGCCCAGTATCTCTGTGCCACCTGCTCCAGAGCCATTTTGAATTATCAGTGCAGGTGTCTGAAAAGTTAATGAAAGGATATGCACCAAAATATAAGCAATTGTTATCTTTCTGGGGAGAAATTATGGGTAGTTTTCATTTCATTTTTACATCTTTCATATTACTTTTTTGACTAACAAAACAACTGGGTTAAAATACAAAGGAGGCCAGGGAGGGTGGTTGACATGAAAGGATTCACCACAGAACATATGTCTCAGCTTCTGATTCCCCTGACAGGCCCTCCAGATCCTGATTGGGCTGCTACACTTCGGCCTTGGCAGCATCCTGGGGACCATCATGCTTGGGAAGTATAAAGCCCCCTCATTCTATGGAGGCTATCCTTACTGGGGAGGTATCTCTGTAAGTAATGAGGGTCACCCTGCAAGTGAGTTCCCAAAACTGCCAACATACTCAGGGCCACCTTGTCAAGCTGTGTACTTTGCTGCAGGATTTTTCCAGTAAAGAGAGCATGTGGGCTGTGAACTCAGCTCAGGCCTTGTTCGCTAAGAACATTAGTCTGCTTCACAGCCAGAACCAATACCACAGACTGGGAGGCTCAACAGCAAACATTTATTATCTCACAGTTCTTGAGGCTAGAAGTCCTAGATTGAGGTGTCTGCAGGGTGGTTTCCTCTGATGCCTCTCTCCTTGGCTTGTAGAAAGTCATCTTCCTCCCTGTGTCTTCACATGGTCTGTGTGGGTTTATGCTTGAGTGTGTTGCCTTATAAGAACATCAGTCATATTGGATTAGGGCCCATCCATGTGACCTCATTTAATGTTCATCACCTCTTTAAAGGTCTTACCTTCAAATACAGGTGCTCCTCAGCTTACGATGGGGTCATGTCTCAATAAATTCGTCATCTATTAAGGACATCCTAAGTCAAAAATGCATCAAATACTGCACTACAGAGTATGGGCTGTTCATCCTTGTGATCATTCTCCTCACAGAGAGCTGTGCTGCCTGCAGCTGTCCAACATCATGAAAGAGTATCTCACCACATTCTGCTCACTCAGGAAAAGATGGGTACTCAGAATGTAAAGAACAGTTTCTACTGAAGGCATATCACTTTCACACAATTATAAAGTCAACAAAATCATAAGTCCAACCATCATGCATCTGGAAGCATCCCTACAGTCACATTCTGGGGTGTGGGGGTTAGGACTTCAAAAGATGAATTTTGAGGGGATGCAATTCAGCTCAAAATTCCAATGACAATTCTGTAAGGCTCCATAGACCCAGATGGGCAGATTTCCTGACTAGCCCACCTCAGAGGTCAGAAAACCTTCTTCTGGATTATCAGCCCAGAGGCAGCATCTTTCCTAAGTCACACAAACAAAGACGTATTGGGAACTCAGCTCAAGTGTTGATTAGTGCAGGCCCCCAGCCCAAGCTCCAGGAGAGAAACATTTCCACCACTTGTTGACAGTGGATCCCAAGCCACAGAAGAGTCATTAAGGAGAGGGGATTCAACCTGGAGTCCACAGGTGGCCTCAGGGTCCTCCTTTTACTTAATATTTAGGATATTAGAAGATTCCTTTTTCTGGAAAAGTTTGTAGTTTTTATCACATTCTCAGGGTGATCAGTAATCCTTAACAGGTGAAGAACCTCAGGTCCTTTCCCTTCTCCAGGGTCTTGACTTTATGATTCTCTTACAATCTCCTCAGTGTCCTCCCTCCTGCACACACGCAGCCACTCACAGCCCCTCCATCTCCTCCCTCCCACCACCCATCTCCTTTACCTTCCTGCTATAACACAGTCTGTCTCCTCAATCACACTTATCTGTGCGAGTCACTTATCTGTGACTCAGTGCAACTTTTCTCACAAATAGCACAACTCCAGACTAACCTGGGCATCAGCCAAGTCACCCTCTCCCATAAAAGAGCCTGGATTAATTTGTCACTTTTCTGCACATATAGCATTAGTAAAACAGCAGGACTTATGTTCTCGGGAGCACTTTTGTCTGGTGCTGGCTCACTCTTTTCCCCATTCATGTCTCACCTCTGAGGCTGAAGTCCCCTCTCAGTTCTACACAGACCCAGACTGGGAACTCAGCCCAGATGCCTCCGCTCAGCCACAGGCACCTGTGTCTGCATAACAGACTGCAATGAACTTGAAGCCATGGAGAATATAGCACCACAGCCACAGAGCAGTTGCTATTGAGCATTACAGTCTCTCATATCTCATATTCTTAAGGGCCCTGTGGCTGCCCTGGTATCTCAAACACCTTGGTGGCCATTTCTACTTCCACCAGGGTGCTGCTCAGGGCCCATCAGCCCTCATGACACCCCCTTTCCCTTTTTCTGCTAGGAGTTTTCTTTGTTGCCTTCTTGGATCCAAGCCTATCTTTCTATTTCCTCAAGATCATTAATGTCTTCCTCAAACCGAGACCTATCTCCTTGGCTTCCTCAAAGGGACCAGCAGGAACATCACAAGTCCAGCCTTCTGTTTCCTTCATTCCCCATCAAGCCTCCACAAGCACAGAAATGTAAGATTGAGCTTTACTATTCACTTACAGGAAAATTGGCATTCCTGTTAGAAGGCCAGGCAGCCATAGCAAGTTTTCATTGTGAACACCCATTCCCCTTACGTGGCTCATGCATCTACTCTGAAGGGGAGGGAGTGTAGGATGAGGGCTAAGATCATGGGATCTGGAGTCAACTACCTGGATTTGATTCCCATATCTGCTACTTGCTGGATGGTGTCAGATGTGTTACTTGAAATCTCCAAGCCTCAGCCCACTCTACTAAAAAATGAAAATAGTAATAGTGTTTGATGGGCCATTGTGCAACTAAATAAGGCAAGGTTGGAAGCACTTCATGTAGGACTCAGCAAACTTTTCATTAAACACTAGCCAATGTCCTCTCAGACCATTAGTGACAGCAGAGCAACCCATCAGCCACTGTGCCTGCAGAGCATGAGTGCTGAAGTACCTGCACACAATGTACCCCACCGGTCTCATTTTTGATGTTCAGCAACATAGAGATGCAATATACTTCTCAGTAACTAAAAGTAACTCATCAAATTATAGCCAGGCAATGACAGATGTTGGGGAAACCCTTCCCTCTCCCAGCAAGAGCCCCCAGACCTGACTGAATTTTGAGGAAGTCCAAGAGTTGTGCATGAGGAGAAATAAAAGATAAGGAAAGAAGAAACTTTCTGAGTGTCTACTATGTACACTCAGATATACAGGGCAAGGGCAAGATATAACAAATGCCAGACTCAAGAGACAAATTATCTCATGACAATGACACTTAGGAGGTAGACATACAGTTTTTCTTATTTTTTACATGAGAAAATTACCACTTAGAGAAACTAGTAACTTGCCTAACATCACGTGAATTCATGCTGGAATTTCAAACTAGCTCTGCTATATCCTAGAATGTATAGGTATCCCACTTCACTGCCCTGTCATCTGGTGCAAAAGAGTTCATTCATTCACTCCTTCATTTTTCCCCGTGTTGAGCTAGAGGACCCAGCACAGGAACCTAGCATGTGTGAGAGAATGATGTGTGTGACCACAATCCCTGGAGCCTGAAGAGGGGGACCAGACCACTGACTCCTCTCTGAACTCCCTCTTCTGTGCCAGTTCATCATTTCAGGATCCCTCTCAGTGGCATCAGAGGAGCAGCCAAATTATCCTTGCCTGGTAAGTCACATGCTGAGACAGGCTCTCCCAGCTGTGGACCTTTATCAGGAACACATAACAAAGGAAAGAAGCTAACACACACTCCCTCCTCCATCCATGCACCTACTTATAACCAGACACAGGGCACCAACATGCATGCTCACTCATATTCACATGCAGGACCACACCAACCTGGCCAACTCACCAGTGGGAAAGAGTCTAGAAGATTTGGAGGAAGGAAGGGAAATACAGACATCTTTGTTGAGGTGTCAGGGTGTGGAGACACAGAGTAACTCTTCAAAGAGACTCTTACAGGAGGAGGCAAAAAGCTTCCTGGGGCACCTGGGCTCCCCTCCAGCAGAGCAGGGCACTGACACTGCCTGAAGCACACAGAGCCAACCTCCAGACACTTCTACAGGAAAGCCATGACAAGCTCAGGCAGCGGCTTCCCAAGGAATCCAACCAACCAAGCTCTGTCAATCAACATGGACAAGTCCTTGTGGTCCCCTAGCAATGGACCAAGACAGTACATTTGTTTCTCTCACAGCAGGTATCTAGGGCAAGGGGTCTCAGGGTGTTCAGGTCCCATACCACATTAGATCTATTTGAAAATCTCCAAAGGGAAGATTGGAGGTCAACAAGCTCAGTTTTGGCCTTTCTACCCTTGGCCCACATTTGTGGAGTATCGTAGCCTGTAACATCCCAAGACATTGGGGCTGATCTCCTGCTTGTCTCCCAGGGGATAAATGGGTCAAATGTTTCCCAAAGATTATCCTTGGGGTACTTGTCCCACAATAAACTTTATGGAGATTGGTAGGTAAACTTGGGGCCAAAAATCTCTATTTAGTAGTCGTATCTCTGGAAAATAAATAATTTTTTGTTAAAGATTGTGAAGTATTGCATTTCAAACCTGTTTAACTTTGTTTGGTTCAGGTTTTTTCAGTCTTCATTTTCCCACAAACGTTTTTGTACAGAACACCTCTTTACCTGCTGTAGAAGTAGGGTTCCCAGAATTGACATTAAGAAACTCTTTTTCAGACTCTGTTCATCCCAGCTTCAATTGTTTTCCTCTCCCACTCTCAGCCTCTGTGTCTTTTTCAGATGAGGGGCGGCTTAGGCATGAACATCCTCAGTGCGATCTTTTCTGTGGTGGGAATCTGTCTCTTTATGGCAGATATATTTATCGACCAACCAGATGTTTACCAGGGTTTGGAAGTGGTGAGTATGCCCCTTGACCAGTGCTCCCCTGGAGCCAGCTCAGCTGTGTTTAGAAAATCATTGGGAAGAGCCACCAAAGAGATTAAACTAGAAATTATAAATCAACTGTTAAAGGTTGACTGTTAATGAACTATCCAGAGAACATGAAACCCTGAGGACTACGAACATAGGAAATTTGCACACTGTGATGTTGTGATTTATAATAAGAAACATATATATTTTCTCTTCCTTCCCATTAAAAAAACAAAAGAAAGAAAATCAGTGAAAAGACACTGACCACCAAGCTTCTTCACCAGGCACTATAGCAAACAGAGGTGCTGCCAGAATCAGAAGAGTTTAAAGTGCCTGACCTGTAGCTTTATTGCTGTGTTATTCTAAGCGTGTGACTTTTTTTAGTCTTAATTTCTATGTTTATAAAGCACTACATACCTTTAGACACTGTAGGAAGAATTAAATACAGTTCTACATATAATACACAGGTACCCACCAACCTGCATCTCTACTCACAGGGTCACCTTCTTGCCCATTACTATAGACAAAGGTGTCCACAAAGATCTTCTATACAGGCCAGAGAGTGAATATTTAAGGCATTACTGACCATTTATTTAATGCAATAGACAAAAATCTCATTTCTATATGTAATCCATGTAAAAATGATTAATTCAATATTTTGCACTTGGGAACGTCTTTGAAATCCAGTGTGTGTTTTCCACTTACATCACAAGTCCTCAGGGGATTCGTGGCTACCAGATTAATAGGTGCGACTGAAGTTGAGTCCCATGAAAACTGAGTGCCTTCTCCTGCACTACAGAACTGTCTTCCCTGCCCACTCAAGACTAACACTGCTGGTGCTTCTGCCCTCTTACTTGTCCACACCTCTCTTCTACATCTATTGCCCACCTTTGCTAGAGCTTTTCCTCAGCATCTACACATCCTTCTCTTTCCTTCATCTTCAAAAACAACAAAAAAAAAACATTATCTTTCAGTTACTGCAGCTACCACCCTGGGTCTGCGGCCAAGTCAATGGAAAAGAAAGAATTGTCTGCCTCACTCTCTCCTCTCAAAACCTCTCTTGAACACACTCTAACCACACTTTCAGCCTCACTTCTCTGCTCAAAAGCCAAAAGCCTCCTCTGCTCAAGGCCCCCAATTTCATTTGGAGACCTCCCAGTGTCTTACAGGCTCTATAGCTGGTGTTCTCCTACTCATAATGGTCATTTTCTTCTCTGTCTCCCCTGCTGTTACTTTTCTTTTCATCATTTTCTCTGGCTTTGTTCTCATTCCTCTGTTTCTCTACTCACTGTTTTGGCAACCTCCTCCTGTCCAGTGACTTGAAACACTTTCTCTATGACAATGACCCCCCACACCTGTCTCCCAGACTTCAGTCTCTTGAATCCAGTTGTTCTCTCACCATCTTGAAATTACCCTATTCTGATCTCCAGATTTTTCATCCCAAAATTCTCTCGAGTTTTCTTTTCCCCATTGATGGCAACCGCATCTTTTCAGTCACTCAGGGTAAAATCTTGGTGAAATCTTCCACCCTCACTTTTTCTCCTGCACCTACCAGCCAGTGCCTCAGGCAGTCCTGCGGCTTTCACCATTACAATGCATCCGGAATCCAGCTGGAGCTGCCACCATCTGCCTTCTAATATCAGGTCTGCTTATAATTGTTCTTGGAAACAGAACTACCCCATCCCAGCCACTCACCCCACCTCTGGCTTCAGTCCACCCATCTGAACAAGGAGGGATGTACTTTGTCACAGCTTTGCAAATGATGAGCCAAGTGTTGGGGAGCTTCAAGGGCTCAACAAGCATGAATGAAGACTCACCAGATAATATCTATCAATAAGCTACTTGAGGAACTTCTTCTTCTTTATGGAACAATTCTTTTTTTTTATCTTTTAATTACAGTTGACATTCAAAATTATATTATTTCAGATGCACAGAATTGTGATTAGACATTTGTATAACTTTTGAGGTGATCACCCAATCAGTCCTGTACCTATATATCATACATAGTTATTACAATATTACTGACTATATTCCCTATGCTGTACTTTAATTTACTTGTCTCTATCTTTAAACCTCTCTATTTGTACTTTTTAATCCCTTCATTGTTTTTCCCCATCCTCCAACCCTTCTCCTATTAGAAAGTTTTATTTATAAAAAAAAAATTTGTTGTTAAAAACACATTTGAAATGCACCAGCATCATTTGTAAAGGCTCCTCCTCCCTCAGCTTCTGTGATTCCTGGACTAAGACATCATCACCCTGCGTATGCCTTCGCCTGGACACCCTGTCCTGCATCCTTGTCTCTAAATCCTGGACTCAGTAGGGATCTCTGTCTCCTCAGTGCCCCAGGCATTCTTTTGACTGTTTTGTAGCTTTTATCATGTCTGATGTGAATTATAATCTGTATCTGAATTGTTTCTTGCCTTATCAGATTGTGTCTCTTAAAATGCCTTCTTAGACACTCATACCAAGCAGATGTTTAACAAATACTTGCTAAATTTAGGGGGAAGAAAAGGACATTTCTCAGGAAGTTCTCTCCATAAGGGAGGATTCTCTGACAAGCTAGCTGTCATGCACGCCATGTTTAAAATCATCAACAAAAAACATTTGTTCGGTACCTACCCTGTATTAGGCACTTTCACTTTCATATTTATTTTCTCCTATAATTGGGATCTAAATTATCTGGGGATTATTCATCCCTTGTCCTTTAAGGAATAAAGTGGATTCAACCCTAACTCTCTCCCCACATACAGAAACAAACCCCATTTTCCTGGGTATTTTTGGAGAAGACCAGAGAAGGGCTTAGATGTCTCCTGGTTTTCAGGTGAACACTCGGGTTCAGCTTGGGGGTCTTTGAACTGACTTTTTTCCCAAGTTCAAGACAGCCTGAATTATTTCTCTCCACAAAATGCCACTGTCAGAAGCCAGAAGCGTTGTTTCACTGGCTCACTTTCTCTAAAGGTTCAGAGGGATGGTGGAGGTTTACATCAGAGCTCAGGCAACTATTGAAGACTGGAGATTACACATCCCTCACATATCACATGCCTTTGTCTGCAGGCTCCACCTCCCGTCCTGTTGCTTGGTCCTGTCTTTCTCCTCTAACCCTCTCACTTTCCTCCCCTCTGCTTGTCCATGCTCCCAAATTTCTATGTGCTTCCTACACAGAACAGTTTCACTCTCTCACTGTCTGACCTCAGACCCCATCTTAGGTCTCATCCCCTGTGCCTGAAACAAGGTACCAAGGTGTTGCCCTAAACATGACCATTCTTTCCTGAGGAACACCCATAGTGTTCGCCCCTCACCAAAACCTGGTGTGACATTTTCTGCATGACGCAAAGACAAAGTTAGGGGACTTCCTCAAAGCCATAGCCACTGTCCATTGTAGAGAAATCCTTTGAGGCAGACCTCAGACTCCCAGGGCAGAACTAATAACCTCCCATTTAGGTATCATTCCAGATCCCTGGGAAAACTACTTCTGGTGTGCTGCTTGTCTTCAGCCTCCTGGAGCTCTGCATTGCCTCCACATGTGCCCACTTTGGCTGCCAACTGGTCTCCTACGTGAGTCCAAAGATCCTCAGTGGGTGGGAAGTTGCCCCAAAGAGGGTGGAGACCAGAGGGATCTTCAGGCTTCCCCTTTCTACCCAGGAACATTGGAGTGTGGTAGTGTGTAAAGGCATGCTGGCATGCCCAGTTCTCACCAGAACACTTCCTGTTCTTGTCTTTTTCAGCACTTCGTGGTCTACCAAACCGTCTATATGTCCAACCAAGTGCCCAACCCAGAACCAGTGAACTCACCACCATCTTATTTCAGTGAGATGCAGCACTCCAAATAGGCCAAAGGCTCTAGAAGCATCTTTCAATGGGATTTTAAGAAAACCCTTCCATTTCCATGCTATTGAAACTTAGCTTTTTCCTTCCCTAACAAACTAAGCAACATTTCTGTCTAATTGTGTGCACCCTGGACTCCATTTCTTTCAGCCTAGTAAATTGTGCTGTGCCTCTATTTAAAAAGAAAGACAGAAATTTCAAGTGGATTTTAGCAAAGGGGTCCTCCCTAGGGCAGCCACATGTGGAGACATCATGTGCATGTATTTCATGTGCTTTCCTGTGTGGGCTTAGGAGTTAGAGGAATAAATGTCTAAAGAGCTAAAACTTCATTCTTTCAATCATTCACTCACCGAATAAATATGCACCAAGATTTCATACGTTTAAGTCTCTTATATGGCAGGGCAATGGTGAACATAGGTGAACACACCAACTCCTTGATTTCAAGGAACTTCTTCCCCAGAAAACAGACCAAAATGCAAGCAATTTTCTCTAACATCAGGCAGAAGGTAGGGTTCTGCACAGAGGAAAAGAGGCAAATGATTTATCCTGGCAGTGATGGGGAAAGCAGAGAACAAGTCTGGAACAGGAATCAACATTTGTTGGGGTGTTAAAGGAGAGAGTAGGGGTTTATTTTGTTTATTGTTGTTGGGTTTTCTGCAATAAGAAACTGCAGGGCTGGGAAGATCTTTGGAGACATTGTGTCATCCACTATCATGATCATTTTTTACACATGGTTACCATGACGCAATAGTTCTCAAGAATATTGTCCTAATATGTCTTCCAAAATTATGATGCTAGTACACTATTATACACGGAAGAATAAGGACAAATTTAAATAGAAATGACTATGTCTATAATTTCCAGATTTGCAAACATTAACTTAAATATTATTATCTATGATGACCGTTGACTTCCAAGCGGTTATGTGAAAACAGATTATGGCAGTGACCTCTAAAGTCTCGGTGCCATCACATTTCCTTTTATGGTGGAAGCCTGGCAATAACTTCTTTGTTGTTCATACCACATACAGAACATGATTTTTACCCTTTATCTATTTTTAGTTGCTGACTTTACCTAAGAAGTTTCCTCTAAATGGCATGTGAATGAATTTTGTGTGCTTCCGCACCAGCACTTTCTCTGATCAGGACCCTTTGAATTCCCATCAGCTGCTCAGAAATGGCTGAGGTTCCAAGGCCTCCAGTGGGTTTTCTTTTTATTATTATTATTTTTAATAGTTGTTCGAGTACAGTTTTTTCTGTCCTTTACTCCCATACCAGCCCACCCCCCAGTGCTCTCCATCTCCCTCCCATTTCCACCCCCCTTACTTGTTGTCCATGTGTCCTTTATACCAGTTCCTCTAAATCCTTCCCCTTTTTCCCCTGAAATTCCCTCCCCTCTCCCCTCCAGTCACTGTCTGCCCGTTCTCTATTTCAGTGTCTTTGCTTATATTTTGCTTGCTTGTTTGTTTTGTTGTTTAGCTTCCTGTTAAAGGTGAGATCATATGGTATTTGTCTTTCAATGCTTGGCTTATTTCACTCAGCATAATGTTTTCCATTTCCATCCATGCTGTTGCAAAGGGTAAACGGTCCTTCTTTCTTTCTGCTGCATAGAATTCGATTGTGTAAATGTACCATAGTTTTCTGATCCATTCATTTCCTGATGGGCACCTAGGTTGCCTTCAACTCTTGGCTATTGTAAATTGTGCTGCTATGAACATTGGGGTGCATAGGTTCTTTTGGATTGGTGTTTTAGGGATCTTAGGATATAATCCTAGCAGTGGAATTGCTGGGTCAAAAGGCAGGTTCATTTTCAGTTTTCTGAGAAAATTCCATACTGTTTTCCATAGTGGTTGTACCAGCCTGCAATCCCACCCACAGCTACTTGCAAAAAAATGAAACTTGAGCACCAACTTACACCATATGCCAAAATAAATTCAAGGTGGATAAAATACTTAAATATAAGCCATGACACCATTAAAGTCCTAGAGGAGAACATTGGCAAGAAATTCCCAGATATTTCACACAGCAGCATTCTTACTGATATGTCCCCTAGAACAAGGGACATAAAGAAAAGAATAAACAAATGGGATCTCACCAAAATTAAAAGCTTTTGCATGGCTAAAGAAAACAGTATTAAAATAAAAAGAGAACCAACCATATGGAAAAACATATTTGCCAATGATACCTCAGACAAGGGTTTAATCTCCAAAATATACAGAGAACTTACACTACTCCACTCTAAGAAGACAAGCAACCCAATTAAAAAGTGGACAAAGGACTTGAACAGACATTTCTCCAAGGAGGACATACAGAAGATCCAGAGACACATGAAAAGATGCTCAATATTGCTAGCTATCAGAGAGATGCAAATTAAAACCACAATGAGATATCACTTTACACTGGTCAGAATTGCCATCATAAACAAAGCAACAAACAACAAGTGTTGGAGAGGTTGTGGGGAAAAGGGGATCCAGTGGGTTTTCTAGAACTGAGTGGGGTTTAGGAAGTCACAGGCAACAAAAATGGAGGATGGAGCATGTAATATTCTGCTTTCAGACCAGCCCTCCACCTATGTGTTTTGTGAGTTGAGATGATTGTTTATTGGACTCCCCAAAGAGGCTGGATTGTTTGGACAATTCTCAGAGGGTGAGGTGCTCAGAGTGTGCCTGACCCTCTCTCCACTTTCTTCTTCAGTATTGCCTCTCACTGCCCCACCTGACTCCATACCTCCTCAGTCTGTAGATCTCCATCCTCCACCTTGACCCACCACTCAGTTCTCAGAGCTTCCTTCCTGACTTGTCTGACCTGTGAGTTAATACACAGGCCCCAGATCTGTCCCACCTTCTACAGTGTGGATGACCTCAGAGAAAGCAACTTGAAACACACTTTATGCTTCTCCCTTTTACTTCGTTTAGGGTATCTTTGGTGAACAAATATCTTAATTTTAATGTGATCTAACATGTTTGAAATTTTACGATTCATGCTTTTTTTATCATGCTTAAGAAATATTTTTCTGAGTTTCCCCAAGAATTGTTGCAGCATGGAGAGCCATGCATAGCAAAGCAGTTCAGCAAAGTGCTGGCAGTCCAGGGTCAGTAGGAAGATGAGCCTGGGTTAGAAAAGAGGCTACCAATGCCCAACAGAACTGCTCAGAATCAAGTGGCTCTTACAGGGGCTGGTAGAAGCCTCCATGTACATAGATTGAAGATTTAATCTACAGCAAGAGGACCACATCCTGACGCTGAGTTGTGTACAGAGGGTGTAACACTCCTAGTGAGCAAAAAGGACAGTCACCTCTTCACTGACAGCCACACTTCAGCTATTACCTTCAAATCCAAGGCACAACTAGAGGAGAGAGATGGGAGGGAACCCATCCTCCATCAACCATCCCACTAAGCCACTGGAGCCAAAACACTAAGTTAGGGCAGAAGGTAAACTTTGACTCACATATTATATTGAAGGCTTAAAATGATGACTTCTGAGCTTACATGAGAACATTTTAATAACAAAACTGAAACATTGTGATGAAAGAACCATCCACCCACCTCCACTCACCACAAGAACTAAAACACCACAGTTCCACTGCATGAACCTGAGTGCCCTTCCCCAGTCCCCTGGTTCTGCCTTCCCACAGTGCTTACCATTCTCAGCTCTCTTGTGTGCCTAGCACAACCGGTACACCTAATATACTGGAATGCATTGGCAAAATTTCTAATGCTCTGTGTGAACTCACACAAATAGGTGCACCTAAAATATTGGAATGCATTGGCAAGTTTAACTAATATCTTGTAATAGCTAACAGTGCATTTTCTAGCACATGAATTCCTGCAGGGGGAGCCACCAAAGGAGTCCCCAGTCATCCCATCAGGCCTGCTCTTCATTTCATGTGTGAGGAGTTCCAGAGTTCTCTTTGCTCTACACCAGTTCACATTCTGCTTATGTTATGACTCGTTCATTCCTTTTTTAATGTCATTTACACTTTACTGCTCCTATTGATCCCAGATGTTCTGCACAGTTGAAAATGTCAATGAGTCTGTGGAGATTTACAAACTTCCTTTACCATTTTCCCATAAGACATGCACCTTGATTCCTATGAACAAAAAATGGTAGCCCAAACCTAGCATGATGATCTTCTTAGATGTCCTCCTGCTGCCTCTGATACTGTTTGATCTTACACATGGGTATGTTTCTACTCATCCTGAAAAACCATGTTGCAGAATGACCTCCCAAAAGTCAGGTTTGTGTACACAATGCGCTAGTAAGAAAAAGTATTGAAACATTGGTGCTTGGAGATAGAGAAAGCTTTATTCAGCTTGGCTGAGACAAAAGGACAGGAGAGGAAAATGTCTCAAATCCATCTCTCTCAAAAAACAAATGTAGGCTGCACCAGTCTGCATTCCCACCAACAGTGCACAATTTCCAATAGCCAAGTGCTGGAAGCAACCTAAGAGCCCATCAGTAAATGAATGGATCAAAAAATTATGGTACATTTTGCCCTAACTGGTGTAGCTCAGTGGATTGGGCGTGGACCTTCAAACCAGAGGATGGCAGTTTGATTCCCAGTCAGGGCACATGCCTGGGTTGCAGGCCAGTTCCCAGCAGGGGACCCACGAAAGGCAACCATACATTGATATTCTCTTACTCTCTCCTTCCCTTCTCCGCTAAAGATAAATAAATAAAATCTTTTAATTTTTTTTAAAACTATGGTACATTTACAGAATGGAATAATGCACAGCAGAAAGAAAGAAGGAGCTCCTACCCTTCATGACAGCATGGATGGACCTGGAGAGCATTATCCTAAGTGAAATAAGCCAGGAGGTGAAAGACAAATACTATATGATCTTACCTAAAAGTAGAACCTAATAACAAAACCAACAAGCATGCAAAATATAAACAGAGACATTGAAATAAAGAATAAACTGACAGAAACCAGAGGAGAGCGGGGAGATGGATAATGGAGGAAAATAGGGGAAGGATCATCAAGGAACACATATAAAGAACATAAGGACAGAGACATAGTAGGTAAAATGAAGGGTTGGAGGTGGGGATGGATGGGGTGGGGGGAGTGGTAGGGGAAGAATGAAGACAACTGTACTTGAACAACAATGAAAAAAAGGAGGAAAACATCATATTGATGTAATTGTCCTGAGACTTCTATGAGCCAGGCCTTCTCCAGGGGAGGACAAGTCCTCATGTATTTATCAGGAGCCCTTTGTTAATTTGCACGAAGCTCTTAAGCTTTTCCTTTAAATTAAAAATAGTCACAGATATTCTGTTTGCTTCCCTGTGGGGCTAGGGGAAGGGACCAAAAAGGGAAACAAGAACCCGCTTGCCCATCCATCTATTTTCTGCTGTATGAGTCAGATAACTGGGAAA